CTGAACCCTATGGGAACCCCAGTGATTAACACTGAACCCTATGGGAGCCCCAGTGATTAACACCGCACCCTATGGGAGCCCCAGTGATTAACACTGAACCCTATGGGAACCCCAGTGATTAATACTGAACCCTGTGGGAGTCTCAGTGATTAACACTGAACCCTATGGGAACCCCAGTGATTAACACTGAACCCTATGGGAACCCCAGTGATTAATACTGAACCCTGTGGGAGTCTCAGTGATTAACACTGAACCCTATGGGAGCCCCAGAGATTAACACTGAACCCTATGGGAACCCCAGTGATTAATACTGAACCCTGTGGGAGTCTCAGTGATTAACACTGAACCCTATGGGAACCCCAGTGATTAACACTGAACCCTATGGGAGCCCCAGTGATTAACACCGCACCCTATGGGAGCCCCAGTGATTAACACTGAACCCTACAGGAGCCCCATTGATTAACACTGAACCCTATGGGAGTCCCAGTGATTAACACTGAACCCTATGGGAGCCCCAGTGATTAACACTGAACCCTACAGGAGCCCCATTGATTAACACTGAACCCTACAGGAGCCCCATTGATTAACACTGAACCCTATGGGAGCCCCAGTGATTAACACTGAACCCTATGGGAGTGAGTCTCAGTGATTAACACTGAACCCTATGGGAGTGAGCCTCAGTGATTAACACTGAACCCTATGGGAGTGAGCCCCAGTGATTAACACTGAACCCTATGGGAGTCTCAGTGATTAACACTGAACCCTATGGGAGCCCCAGTGATTAACACTGAACCCTACAGGAGCCCCATTGATTAACACTGAACCCTATGGGAGTGAGTCCCAGTGATTAACACTGAACCCTATGGGAGTCTCAGTGATTAACACTGAACCCTATGGGAGTCTCAGTGATTAACACTGAACCCTATGGGAGCCCCAGTGATTAACACTGAACCCTATGGGAGTCCCAGTGATTAACACTGAACCCTATGGGAGCCCCAGTGATTAACACCGCACCCTATGGGAGCCCCAGTGATTAACACTGAACCCTACAGGAGCCCCATTGATTAACACTGAACCCTGTGGGAACTCCGCATTCATTCATTGAAACCCAAGAACCTCGTCGGAAGCGGAAATTCGATCGCGGGCGAAACCGGAAATGAAAGATTTCCGGTGACGTCAGAGTCAACTCGTACAGACGCCGCGGTGAGTAGTGATGGTGGTGGTGATGGTGCTGGTTGTGGTGGTGATGGTGGTGGTGATGGTGGTGGTGATGGTGGTGGTGATGGTGGTTGTGATGGTGGTGGTGGTGGTGATGGTGGTTGTGATGGTGGTGGTGATGGTGGTGGTGATGGTGGTGGTGATGGTGGTTGTGATGGTGGTGGTGGTGATGGTGGTTGTGGTGATGGTTGTGATGGTTGTGCTGGTGGTGGTGATGGTGATTGTGGTTGTGGTGGTGATGGTGGTGGTGATGGTGGTGGTGATGGTGGTGGTGATGGTGGGGGTGATGGTGGTGATGGTTGTGATGGTGATGGTGGTTGTTATGGTGCTGATGGTGGTAATTAATGGTGATGCTCGTGATGGTGGTGGTGGTGATGGTGGTGGTGATGGTGCTGGTTGTGGTAGTGATGGTGGTAGTGATGGTGGTGGTGATGGTGGTGGTGATGGTAGTGGTGATGGTTGTGCTGGTGGTGGTGGTGATGGTGATTGTGGTGATGGTGATTGTGGTTGTGGTGATGGTTGTGGTTATGGTTGTGATGGTGGTGGTGATGGTCGTGGTGGTTGTGATGATGGTTGTGATGATGGGTGTTATGGTGCTGATGGTGGTAATTAATGGTGATGATAGGTGTGATGGTGATGGTCGTGATGGTGGTGGTGATGGTTGTGCTGGTTGTGATGTTTGTGATGGTGGTGATGGTCGTGGTGGTTGTGATGGTGGTAGTTATGATGGTGGTGATGGTAGCGGTGATGGTTGTGATGGTGGTGGTGATGGTGGTGGTGATGATGGTTGTGATGCTGGTTATGATGGTGGTGTTGATGGTTGTTATGGTGCTGATGGTGGTAATTAATGGTGATGATGGGTCTGATGGTGATGGTCGTGATGGTGATGGTCGTGGTGGTTGTGATGGTTATGGTGGTGGTCGTGATGGTTATGGTGGTGGTAGTGATGGTGGGGGTGATGGTGGTGTTGGTTGTGATGGTTGTGGTTTTGGTAGTGATGGTAGTGATGGTGGTAGTGGTTGTGATGGGGGCGGTGGTGAGAGCGGTGGGTGTAGTGGTGAGCGCTACGCTGCTCTACGAACCTGGCGACCCGGGTTCGATTCCCGCTCACGGCCAACACCGCCAGTGACGATTATCTAAACCGGTCCTGGGCCTCTCCTAGGTCGACTCAGCCTCAAAGGAGTTACCTGGTGTAGCGTAGTTAACATCGCTAGCACAGAGGGAGACAAAGGCGGCCGGGCGTGGTGCTGGCCACCCACCCCCTCGTGTGCCGTGCCGGCCTTCATAGGCGCTGCTTGCTAACAGCACTTGCCCCTACAGCCTGTTACAGGCTACACGGGGGATCTTTGTCTTTTCATGGTGATTGTGGTGGTTGTGGTGAAGGTGGTGCCGGTTGTGGTGATGATGCTGTTCATGCTACTGCTGTTGATGCTGCTGCTGATGCTACTGCTGATGCTACTGCTGTTGATGCTGCTGATGCTACTGCTGATGATGCTGATGCTGCACTTGCTACTGCTGCTGATGTCACTGCTGTTGATGCTGCTGCTGATGCTACTGCTGATGATGCTGATGCTGCACTTGCTACTGCTGCTGATGCTACTGCTGTTGATGCTGCTGCTGATGTTACTGCTGTTGATGCTGCTGCTGATGCTACTGCTGCTGCTGATGCTACTGCTGATGATGCTGATGCTGCACTTGCTACTGCTGCTGATGCTACTGCTGTTGATGCTGCTGCTGATGCTACTGCTGCTGCTGCTACTGCTGATGATGCGGATGCTGCACTTGCTACTGTTGATGCTCCTGATGCTACTGCTGTTGCGACTGCTGATGCTTCTGCTGTTGCTACTGTTGCTGTTGCTACTGTTGATGCTGCTGATGCGTCTGCTGTTGCTACTGCTTCTGCTGTTGCTGATGATGCTGGTGGTGCTACTCTTGCTGCTGTTGCTACTGCTGATGATGCTGATTCTACTGTTGCTACTGCTGTTGCAACTGCTGCTGTTGCTACTTGCTTCTATTGCTGGTACTGCTGCTGTTGCTGCTTTTGCTGCCGCTGCTATAGCCATTGCTACTGCTGATGAATCTGCTGATGTTGCTACTGCTGATGATGCTGCTGCTGCTGATGTTGCAACTGCTGCTATTGCTACTGTTGCTAATGCTGATGATGTTGCTACTGCTGCTGATGATGCCGTTGCTACTGCTACTACTGCTGATGATGCTGTTGCTACTACCGATGATGCTGATGCTGCTGATGATGTTGCTATTGCTGCTATTGTTGCTGCTGGTATTGCTGTTGCTACTGCTGCTGTTACTACTGCTGATGATACTGCTGCTACTGTTGTTGCTACTGCTGATGATGCTGTTGGTGATGATGCTGCTGATGATGCTGCTGCTGATGATGCTACTGCTGATGATGCTGTTGCTACTGCTGATGATGATGCTGCTGATGATGCTGTTGCTACTGCTGAAGATAATGCTGCTACTGCTGTTGCTACTGCTGATGTTTCTGCTGATGATGATGCTGCTGCTGATGATGCTGCTACTGCTGATTCTACTGCTGATGATGCTACTGCTGATGATGCTGCTGCTGATGATGCTGCTACTGATGATGCTACTGCTGGTGATGCTACTGCTGATGATGCTGCTGCTGATGCTGCTGATGCTGCTGCTGATGATGCTGCTACTGCTGATGATGCTACTGCTGATGATGCTACTGCTGATGCTGCTGATGATGATGCTGCTGCTGCTGATGATGCTGCTGCTGCTGCTGCTGCTGATGATGCTGCTGCTGCTGATGATGCTGCTGATGATGCTGCTGCTGATGCTGATGATGCTGCTGCTGATGATGCTACTGCTGATGATGCTCCTGCTGATGATGATGATGCTGCTGCTGATGATGCTACTGCTGATGTTGCTCCTGCTGATGTTGCAACTGCTGCTATTGCTACTGTTGCTAATGATGATGCTGCTGTTGTTACTGCTGATGCTACTGCTGCTGATGATGGTGCTGATGATGCTGCTACGGCTGATGATGCTAATTCTGATGTTGCTTCTGCTGATGATGCTACTGCTGATGATGCTACTGCTGATGATGCTACTGCTGATGATGCAACTGCTGATGATCTTGCTGCTACTGTTGTTGCCACTGCTGATGCTACTGCTGCTGATGATGCTGCTGCTGATGATGCTGCTACTGCTGATGATGCTACTGCTGATGCTGCTACTGCTGATGATGCTGCTGATGATGCTGCTACGGCTGATGATGCTACTGCTGATGTTGCTACTGCTGATGATGCTACTGCTGATGATGCTATTGCTACTGTTGATGCTACTGCTGCTGATGATGCTACTGCTGATGTTGCTCCTGCTGCTATTGCTGCTATTGCTACTGTTGCTAATGCTGATGATGCTGTTGCTACTGCTGATGCTACTGCTGCTGATGATGATGGTGCTGATGATGCTGCTACGGCTGATGATGCTACTGCTGATGATGCTACTGCTGATGATGCTACTACTGATGATGCTGCTGCTACTGCTGTTGCTACTGCTGGTGCTGATGATGTTGCTGCTTTCGCTATTACTACCACTGCTGTTGCTGCTGCCGCTGATGATGCTGACGATGCTGTCCCCAGCAGCAGCAGCAGCAGCAACCTTACACCCCACCAAAGACACCCATCCGCCTTTGTTCTAGACATCACGACAAGAGCCGTCGCGTGACCCCTGTGCTACGGACGGGCGGGCGGACGGAGGCACAGACGGACCAACGACAGACGGATCGGCTCGGCATGTGGTCCCAGCAAGGGGCTTCAGATGACGGAATCGCAGCGGGAGCGGGCCCCATTGAGGGCAGGATCGGTCCCGAGGAAGAGGAGGAGGTGGTGGAGGAGGAGGAGAAAGGGGAGCAGAGCGAGGACGTGAGGTGAGGTTTCGAGACTTCGCTTAGTCAGCCGGCGAGACTCCCATCGAGATGAGCACCTCTGTTACAACGTTACATAGAGATCCACAGAGCTACATACAGTGAGGGAAAAAAGTATTTGACCCCCTTTCAATCAGAAAGATTTCTGGCTCCCAGGTGTCTTTTATACAGGTAACGAGCTGAGATTAGGAGCACACTCTTAAAGGGAGTGCTCCTAATCTCAGCTTGTTTCCCTCATTACAATGCAAATCAATTCATAACATTTTTCACATGCGTTTTTCTGGATGTTGTTGTTGTTATTCTGTCTCTCACTGTTAAAATAAACCTACCATTAAAATTATAGACTGATAATTTCTTTGTCAGTGGGCAAACATACAAAATCAGCAGGGGATCAAATACTTTTTCCCTCACTGTAGAGATAGAGATACATAGAGACACATAGAGATACACAGAGATGCATAGGGAACTATAGTGTTGCAAAGTGACCCACAGACTCACATAGAGATCTAGAGACTCACACAAAGAGACCCAAAGAACTAAAACTAAATTATAAACTATTTTTTATTTTACCAGCTAAGGCCCACTGAGCTATGTTAGAAGCAAACTGGCTATCACGAATGATAGCTCCACATAGCGGCTTACCATCATGTGGAAGTTTATGGCAGCAGCTAAATACTGCCAACGCGTGTTTTTAAATGTTGAGGGAAATAGCGGAGGAGCCCGGAGACAAATCCACGCGACCACGAGGAGACGGAGAGAGAGACACGCAAACTTCAAATATACAGCAGCAGCAGGCGTCTGGGTCGCGATCGAACCCACTGCCTCCTGCACACCAGCCGAGGTAGTTAACGTCTCGCCACCGCGGTGCTAACGCCTCGACCACTGAGAGACAGAGAAACACTTTAACTCCAAATATACAGCAGGCGTTATGGTCAGTATTGAACCCACGACCTTCTGCGTACCACAGAGGTCGCAAACGGGTTTTGATTCCTTACCCGTACCCGGCCGTACCCGTACCCTACCCGTACCCAGGCGGGTACGGGTAGGGTACGGGTATCGGGTACCTGATTGCGAACTCTGGGATGAAGCCATGTTGCAGGCGCGGGTGGGTTGATTCTAGGAACTTGAATTGTGCGAAGAGACAACACGTTGGGAAATGAGTGACAAACGGTTACTCACCAGTGACTCACGGTCTACCTGTACCCGTACCCGGCCGCACCAGGGTTGCAAACGGGTACCCGTACCCGGCCGGGTACCGGTAGGGTACGGGTTTCGGGTACCCGGTTGCGACCTCTGGCGTACCAGCAGAGGTAGTTAACATCTCCTAGCCTACTATGGCCACCCGTCATTTATCGTTGCAGCAGCAGCGGCGGCGGCGGCGACGCCGCCACTTTGGCACTGCCTCCACCTCCTGCGTCACCGCTGGTGGCCGGAGGTCCCAGCAAGAGCAATGGCGAAAGGATGGAGGAGGAGGAGGGGGAGGAGGAGGGGTTGGAGGTGAGCGGCGAGGGCTCCACCCAGTGGTGGTGTCGGGAGGAAGCCGACGTTGAGCCCTGGAGAAGCTCTGAGCCTACCGAAAACTCGGAGGAGGAGGAGCGGGGGGAGGTGGTGGAGGAGGAGGAGGAGGACCCCGACTTTGTGCCGCGAGGGGAAAAGCGAGGGGGGGCGAGGAGGGGGAGGAGGAAGAGCGGTGGGAGGCGCGGTGGAGTCGCGGGCAGGAGAGAAGGTGGAGGAGTCGGAAGGGTGAGTGGGTGAGTGGATGGGTGAGTGGGTGGGTGGGTGGGTGGATGGGTGGGTGGGTGAGTGGGTGAGTGGATGGGTGGGTGAGTGGATGGGTGGGTGAGTGGATGGGTGGGTGAGTGGGTGGGTGAGTGGGTGGGTGAGTGGATGGGTGAGTGGTGGGTGGGTGAGTGGGTGGGTGAGTGGGTGGGTGAGTGGGTGGGTGAGTAAATGGGTGGGTGGGTGAGTGGATGTGTGAGTGGATGGGGTGAGTGGGTGGGTGGGTGAGTAAATGGGTGGGTGGGTGAGTGGATGGGGTGAGTGGGTGGGTGGGTGAGTAAATGGGTGGGCGAATGAGTGGGTGGGTGGGCGGATGAGTGGGTGGGTGGGCGGATGAGTGGGTGGGTGGGCGGATGAGTGGGTGGGTGGGCGGATGAGTGGGTGGGTGGGCGGATGAGTGGGTGGGTGGGCGGATGAGTGGGTGGGTGGGCGGATGAGTTGGTGGGTGGGCGGATGAGTGGGTGGGTGGGCGGATGAGTGGGTGGGTGGGCGGATGAGTGGGTGGGTGGGCGGATGAGTGGGTGGGTGGGCGGATGAGTGGGTGGGTGGGCGGATGAGTGGGTGGGTGGGCGGATGAGTGGGTGGGTGGGCGGATGAGTGGGTGGGTGGGCGGATGAGTGGGTGGATGAGTGGGTGGGTGGGTGATGTATTGTAGAACGTGGTGACATATTGTATTGCAGTGTATAGTGTAGGGAGTGTATGGTGTATTATAGTGTATGGTAGTGTACAGTACAGTGTAGTGTTTAATGTATATAGTGTGGTGCATAGTAGTGTACAGTATAGTGTAGTGTATGGTGTAGTGTAGTGTATAGTGTAGTGTTTAGTGTAGTGTATAGTATAGTGTAGTGTGTAGTGCACAGTGTATAGTGTAGTGTTTAGTGTAGTGTATAGTGTAGTGCACAGTGTGTAGTGTTTAGTGTAGTGTATAGTGTAGTGTATGCTAATGCGTGTGCCCCGTATGTGTGGGCGCGTGCGGAGGAAGAGCGCAGCCACCGCTGAGCGCAGTCACCGCTGCCACCTCTGTGACCGGATCTTCGGCTCCGTCACGCTTCTACGCAACCACATCAACACCCACACCGGTACAGATACATGCAAAGATACATACACGTATGTACGTACACGTACATCCAGAAAGACACATATACATGCAGATACAGAAAGATGTAGGAACATACAGATACATGTGTAGGACTCGTACTCGGGTTGTCTTTCCCGTTCCGTTTATTTGCTCCTTAAAGTCCACACCGTCTCCTCATCACCGCTCCGTGTCTCCCTGTTCGCTCCGTCACGCTATCCGCCATCAATGGCGCTCTATGTCTCTCCGTTCTCTCTCCTGCTATCCCAGAGTCCGTCACGCCGCTGCTACCCTACTCTGTATCTCTCCGATGCACTGCTACCACTGCTACCACTCTGTCTCCTCTATCCACTGCTACCGTACTTTGTCCTATCTCTCTCCACTGCTACCGTTATCGTATCTTTCTCTACTTACTCCTGCTCTTCGCTACGGTCCGGGCACCATCACTCCAACTCCTCTCCAGACTCCAGCTCTAACCAAGACTCCAGCTTCCACCAAGACTCGCTTCCACCCAGAGACTCCCGTCTCTCTGTCGTGCTGTCCCTTTTATCCCCGTATCAATTACCCCTCGCCCCCCCAGGCCCCCCAGCCTCACGTGGCCTTGTTGTTCCCGCCCGGGCGACGCCAGTCATTCAGCCCTCAACCTCTTAACCAATCACCGACCTGTATCCCCGGTTGCCCCTAACACCTGTTACGCCACTTAACGCGTCTCCCTCACGCCTCAGCAACAACAACATCGTCCTCAAATACCCCCTACTGTACACTTGCTTGCTTGCATAGCAACAGACCCACAGAGCGCGTGGCGCGGCATATTCCAAGTTCTACACATGCACAGATACAGACACATACAAAAAGAAAATGACAAATATCCCCAGTGTAGCCTGTTACAGGCTGTAGGGGCAAGTGCCGTTAGCGATCAGAGGCCGCCATTGTCTCCCCATTGGCAAAGTTTAAACCTCGCATAAGGTACGCATTTGAGGCTGAGTCGACCTAGGGGAGGCCGAAGACCGGTTCAAATAATAATCGTCACTGGTGTTGGCCGTGAGCAGGAATCGAACTCAGGCAGGTTCGTAGCGCAGCGTAGCGCTAACCGCTGAAACCACCACTCCCACCAGATTCATACATACAGTACATACACGCGTATACATACACCTCTGATTAGCACGGTTGTCTATGTATGGTGCGAAAGAAGTTCAACATACACAGTGGTGGACGGCTGTCGTTGTTGTTGTGTGTGTGTGCGCTTGTATGCGACGCCATGTCTGTGTGTTTGCGACACGTGTGTGTATGTAAATGTGACACCGTGTGTGTGTGTGCATGTGACACCGTGAGCGTGTGTGACATTGCGTGTGTGTGTGTGTTTGAGACACCCCTTGAGCGTGTGTATGCAACACCGTGAGTCTGTGTGTGACACCGTGTGTCTGTGTGTGTGACACCGTGTGTGTGTGTGACACCGTGTGTGTGTGTGCGACACCGTGTGTGTATGTGACACTATATGTGTGTATTTGACACTGCGTGTGTGTGTGACACTGTGTGTATTGGACACTATGTGTGTGTGACACCGTGTGTTTGTGTGTGTGACACTGCATGTGTGTGTGTATGCGACACTGTGTGCATGCGTGTAACGCGCAGGCACGAAGCCGCACCAGTGCTCCGAGTGTGCGATGGCGTTTGTAACCAAGGGCGAGTTGGTGCGGCACGGCCGCTACGTTCACACAGGGGAGAAGCCCTTCAAGTGCTCAGCGTGCGAGTACACCAGCGTCGAGGTGCCTCCATCCCCCTCCACCTCCTCCCTCCCTCCCTCTGTCTCCCTCCTCCCAGCGTTTCCTTCCTGTATCTCCCCCCTTCTCCCCCCTCTACTCCTCCACATGTCTCCGTCCATCCTCCTCCATCCTCCTCCTCCCATGACTTCACAACGCAACCAACGGCTTGAGATGCATGGGCACTCTATGTATCTCTATGAGTCTCTATGTATCTCTGTGGGTCTCTATTTATCTCTATGGATCTCTGTGTATCTCTATGGGTCTCTCTGCGTATCTCTATGCGTTTAGAGTTATTTGGCTGCTGCTATAAATTTCCACGTGATGATGATGATATCAGCCACTTACTTGGTTCAGCCAAGTGGATGCGCGGGGGGGGGGGGGGGGGGAGGATGCAACAACAACAGTGCCAATGAAGCCAACAATGCCTGACCCATGTCTACCCGTTTATGTCCCCCCCCCCCCTACACCCGCACCCGCACAGGTGAGCATGATGAAGCGCCACATGCGGTCGCACACTGGCGAGCGTCCGTTCCAGTGCAGCATGTGCAGCTACGCCAGCAAGGACGCCTACAGACTCAAGCGGCACATGAGGACGCACTCCGGTACGCCGTCGGCACGCGATCTCCCGCAGACCCGACTGGAGGAGAATGTCGTAACGTAAAGCTCCGTTATTTCGATATTCGATCGTTCATAATTGGGGGACAATTCTACACGGCTGCCCTTTTAGGCGCACGTACACAGTGAATTGGAAATTTGCCAATCTACCGTGTACCATTTGCCACGAGCGACAGCGCGCGACACCTGCGAAACGACGACTCGGTCTGGTGAGCGTGGCGAGCGTAGCGAGCAGGGCCAGCGTGGTCAGCGTGGTGAGTGGGGTGAGTGGGGTGAGCGTGGTGGGTGGGGTGAGCGTGGTGAGCGTGGTGAGCATGGTGAGTGGGGTGAGCAAGGTGGGTGGGGTGAGCGTGGTGAGTGGGGTGAGTGGGGTGAGCGGGGTGAGTGGGGTGAGCGTGGTGAGCGTGGTGAGTGGGGTGAGTGGGGTGAGCGGGGTGAGCGTGGTGAGCATGGTGAGCGTGGTGGGTGGGGTGAGCGGGGTGAATGGGGTGAGCGTGGTGAGCGTGGTGAGTGGGGTGAGGGTGGTGAGCGTGGTGAGTGGGGTGAGCGTGGTGAGCGGGGTGAGCGGGGTGAGCGTGGTGAGCGGGGTGAGCGTGGTGAGTGGAGTGAGCGTGGTGAGTGGGGTGAGCGTGGTGAGTGGGGTGAGTGGGGTGAGCGTGGTGAGTGGGGTGAGCGTGGTGAGTGGGGTGAGCGTGGTGAGTGGGGTGAGGGTGTTGAGTGGGGTGAGTGGGGTGAGTGGGGTGAGCGTGGTGAGTGGGGTGAGCGTGGTGAGCGTGGTGAGCGGGGTGAGCGGGGTGAGCGGGGTGAGCGGGGTGAGCGGGGTGAGCGGGGTGAGCGGGGTGAGCGGGGTGAGCGGGGTGAGCGGGGTGAGCGGGGTGAGCGGGGTGAGCGTGGTGAGCGTGGTGAGCGTGGTGAGCGTGGTGAGCGTGGTGAGCGGGGTGAGCGGGGTGAGCGGGGTGAGCGGGGTGAGCGTGGTGAGCGTGGTGAGCGTGGTGAGCGTGGTGAGCGTGGTGAGCGTGGTGAGCGTGGTGAGCGTGGTGAGCGTGGTGAGCGTGGTGAGCGTGGTGAGCGTGGTGAGCGTGGTGAGCGTGGTGAGCGGGGTGAGCGGGGTGAGCGGGGTGAGCGGGGTGAGCGTGGTGAGCGTGGTGAGCGTGGTGAGCGGGGTGAGCGGGGTGAGCGGGGTGAGCGGGGTGAGCGGGGTGAGCGTGGTGAGCGTGGTGAGCGGGGTGAGCGTGGTGAGCGTGGTGAGCGGGGTGAGCGTGGTGAGTGGGGGTGAGCGTGGTGAGTGGGGTGAGCGTGGCAAGCATGACAAGCGTCGGTGCAGACCCCCGTCACTTTGGACTTTACTACCTCGTTTGTGTGCACTCTGTGCAAGAAAACCCTCTCAGCAATGTCGTCTCCACCTACATCAAGGTGTAATGGAAAGGCGCCGAAGTATAAAGGAAATCCCTTCATGTCTGTGAGACAAATCAAAAGTTTTGGATAGAATTGACGCCGCAGGCTGTGTGTGTGTGGTGTGTCAATGCGCGTTGTGCATGAGCGGTGGCGTAGCGGTTAGCGGCTACGCCGCGCTACGAACCCGGCAACCCGAGTTCGTTTCCCGGCTCACGGCCAACACCGCCGGTGACGATTATCTGAACTGGTCCTGGGCCTCCCCTAGGTCGACTCAGCCTCAAATTAGTTACCTGGTCCGGTGTGTAGTAAACATCGCCACTGGGGAGACAAAGGCAGCCGGGCGGGCATATGGCTGGCCACCCACCCCCTCGTGTACAGATCTGGCCTTCATAGGTGCTACTCGCTAACAGCATTTGCCCCTACAGTCTGTTAAGGCTATACGGGGGATCTTTGTCTTTGGAGCATGAAGAGTTTGGAAAACAAATTAGGATTTTTTTTTTCATTTTTTTATCAGGGCAGGAGCCACTGGAGATCAACCATCGTTACATAATGCAAAATCTTCTTGGTTCTTTCGGTAAAGTCGTCACGTAGAAGGGAAATAATAAAATAATAAAAATAAAACATAATAAAATACAATTCTCACGACGTTTCGGCCACAACGCAAGCAGCCGTCCTCAGGTGAAGAACAGGTCTGTCGGAAAGACAGCGTCTGAATGGGCACGTCGTGAGAATTATTTTATTATGTTTTATTTTTATTATTTCCCTTCTACGTAACTTTACCGAAAGAACCAAGAAGATAAATAAACTATATTCTGATCCTCACGTCGTCACCTTCCAAGCTCATCACTCATTTCCCCGCATGTTACATCCATAAACTACTCAACTGATTGTATTTATTTTGTATGTTATCAGGTGTAAGTCCCCACTGCGCCACGACTGTCAAGCTCTTTTTTAGACGAGCGGACTGGCCCATCACCACAGTGATAGCAGCTCATCCAAGTGGCTGATATCATCATCATCATCATGTGGATCTTCAGAAAAATAATCTCTTTCTCTCTCTTCATCTCCCCTCTCCGTCTCTCTCCGCCTGTCTCTCTGTTTCGGTGTCTCTCTGTATCTGTCTCTCTGTGTCCCTGTCGTTGTGTGTGTCCCTGTCGTTGTGTGTGTCCCTCTATTCCTGTGCCTGTCTCTCACCGTCTCCCTCTGTCTCTGCGTCTCTGCGTGTGTCTCTTTCTCTGTGTCTCTCTGTCCATCTCTCCCTCTCTCTCTGTCTCTCTTTCTCTGTGTCTGTTTCTCTCTCTCTGTGTCTCCATCTCTGTGTCTCTGTCATTCTGTCTCTCTCTCTCTGTCTGTCTCTCTCACCTCTGTCTCTCTCTCCTTCTCTCTGTCTCTCTCTGTCTTTCTGTCTGTCTGCCTCTCCATCTAACCCTATATCGATGTCTCTGTGTCTCTCCTTCTGTCTCTCTGTCTCACCCTGTCTTTGTGTCTCTCTCTCTGTCCATCTCTCCCTCTTGCTCTGTCTCTCTGTCTCTCTTTCGCTGTGTCTGTCTTTCTCTGTGTCTCCATCTCTGTGTCTGTCGTTCTGTCTCTCTCTCTGTCTCTCTCCGTCTCTGTCTTTCTGTCTGACTCTCTCTCTCTGTCTCTCTCACTCTCTCTCTCTTTGTCTGTTTCTCTCTCCGTCTCTCTGTCTTTCTTTGTGTCTCTCTCTCTGTCTCTCTGTCTGTCTGTCTTTCCATCTCACCCTATATCTACGTCTTTGTGTCTCTTCTTCTGTCTCTCTGTCTCACCCTGTCTCTGTGTCTCTCTCTGTGTCTCCAGGAGAGAAGCCGTACGAGTGCCCAGTGTGCCGGGCGCGGTTCACTCAGAAGAGCTCCATGAAATCCCACGTGCAGCAGAAGCACACGGAGGAGGGGGCCGCTCCACGCTTTCCCTGCCCGCACTGCGACGCTGTCACGGCACGCAAGAGTGACCTGGGTATGAGGTGGGGGGTGGGGTAGGGGTGGGGGGGCTAGTTGGGGGGGGGGCTAGTGGGAGCTAAGGGGGAGAGGGGTGGGGTTACGGAGGGGCTCATCCCTGATGCAGCCACTCAGTAGCTCACCCCGCCCATTCATCAATTCACCCACTCACACACCTACTCACAAACTCACCCACCCACTCATCCACCCACTCACCCAAGCACCCACTCATCCACCCAATCACCCAAGCACCCACTGACCCACCCAGTCACTCACCCACCCACTCACTCCACCACTCACTCATCCACTCACCAACTCACCCACTCACCGACCCAGCCACCCTCCTACTCACCCAATCACTTACCCACCCATCCACCCACTCGCACATCAACACCCTCACCAACCCATCCATCAACCCACCCACGAACCCATTTACTTAGCCACTCACTCACCCACTCACCAACTTACCCACCCACTCACCAACTCACCCACCCACTCATTCACTCACCCACCCACCCACCTACCCAACCACTTACCCACCCACCCACTCACCCACTCACCCACTCACCAACTCACCAACTCACCCACCCACCCACTCACTCGGAGTTACCTGTTGGCTCAACACTGCTCATCCTTTGTGTGCCCCCCTCCCCCTCTCTAACCCCCCATGCCCCCTCCCCCCACCCCCAGGCGTGCATCTGCGCAAGCAGCATGCGCTGGTGCGTCGTGGCCTGCGCTGCCGCTACTGCGCGGCCACCTTCCACGAGCACTTTGCCCTCATGCAGCACCAGCGCTGCCACCACCACGAGAAGCACTTCAAGTGCGACCGCTGCCAGTACGCCTGCACGCAGGTACACACACACAGATACATACACACATACACACAGGTACATATACATATATACACACACACATATACATACATAGACAGGTACATACACACAGGTACATACACACACAGGTACATACACACATACATACACACACATACATACACACACATACACACACATACACACAGATACACACACAGATACACACACAGGTACACACAGGTACATACATACATACACATACATACACACAGATCCATACACACAGGTACATACACACAGCTACATACACAAAGCTACATACACACAGCTACACACACAGACTCACACAACAACAACCGCCATTCGCCACTAAGTGGCGGTGACATCACCACGACGCTTGTGCCAGGCCATGTGCACCTTGAGGCCACGTGAAGTGTCGAACGCCTGCTGGCAGGAGGTCACGGGGCCGACGCAGGTGCCACGGGTCGACTGACTGAGACGACAGACAGATACATACACATACACAGGTACATACACACAGGTACATACACACAGGTACACATCCACAGGTACACACAAGCAGAAATGCAAAGACAAATACATACACACATTGGCAGTACGCCTGCAAACAGGTACAAGCATGCACTCATACGTACAGACAGACAAATACATACGCACACAACAATGAAATAGACAAAGATTCCCTGTATAGCCTAAACAGACTGTTGGGGCAAGTGCTGTTCGCGAGGGGGTGGGTGGCTAGCACCATGCCCGGCCGCCTTTGTCTCCCAAGTGGCGCTGTTTATGCACCGCCCCAGGTACTCATTTCAGGCTGAGTAAACCTAGGGGAGGCCCGGGACCGGTTCAAATGATCGTCACTGGCATTGGCCGTGTGTGGGAATCGAACTCGGGTCGCCGGGTTCGTAGCGCAGTGCGCTGACCCCTACACTACCACTCTCCACACAGGTACAAAGACAAAGATCCCCCATGTAGCCTTAACAGACTGTAGGGGCAAGTGCTGTTAGCGAGCACCTATGAAGGCCGGAACGGTACACAAGGGGGTGGGTGGCCAGCACCACGCCCGACCGCCTTTGTCTCCCCAGTGGCGATGTTTACACACCGCACAAGGTACTCATTTGAGGCTGAGTCGACCTAGGGGAGGCCCGGTACCGGTTCAGATAATCGTCACTGGTGTTGGCCGTGAGCGGGAATCGAACTCGTGTCGCCGGGTTTAACCGCTACACAGGTACACACACAATCACACAGGTACATACACACAGGTACGGACTGTACACACTACAGGTGGTATATGCTACTTGCTTCCCAACAGCCTTTGTCGGCCACATTGGGGGAACTTTTTTTCTGTGTTTGACCTTTGCGTGCGTGTGTGTGTGTTTTATTATTTTAAATATGTGCCTCTCTGTGTCGGCCAGGAGCGACACATGATAGCTCACAAGCGATCTCACACGGCCGGGAAGCCGTTCGACTCGGCCCAACTCCCCATAGACGACAAGGAGGGGAGGCGGGAGGAGGAGGAGGTGGCGGAGGCGGAGGTGGTGGTGAAGGTCAAAGTAGAGGTGGAAGAGCAGAGTCAGGAGGAGGTGGAAGATTCCGAACCACCCTCTGCGAAGCGATGGCCCACCCCGCCGTCCAAAGCCAGACGAGGCCGACCGGCAAAGTCCAAACAATAACCAGGCGAGACCTTGGGTGGGTGGGTGAGTTAGTGAACGGTTTTGTGAGGTGAGGTGGGGGTAGGTGGGTGAGCTCGTGAGTGGGTGGGTGAGCTTGTGAGTGAGTTAGTGGGTGACTACTGGGTCAGTGGGTGTTTAATGAGCGGGTTAGGTGATTGAGTGAGATAGTGGGTGACTATTTGATCAGTTGGTGGTTAATGAGTGGGTGAGTGAGTCAGTTAGTGGGTGACTATTAGATCAGTTGGTGGTTAATGAGTGGGTGAGTGAGTGAGTTAGTGGGTCACTATTGGGTCAGTTGGTGGGTTAATGAGCGGCTTGGGTGAGTGAGTGAGTTAGTGGGTCACTATTGGGTCAGTCGGTGGGTTAATGAGTGGCTTGGGTGAGTGAGTGAGTGAGTCAGTTAGTGGGTGACTACTGGGTCAGTGGGTGGGTTAATGAGCAGTTTGGGTGAGTGAGTGAGTTAGTGGGTGACTATTTGATCAGTTGGTTAATGAGTGGGTGAGTGAGTGAGTTAGTGGGTGACTACTGGGTCAGTGGATGGGTTAATGAGTGGGTGAGTGAGTGAGTGAGTTAGTGGGTGACTATTTGGTTAGTGGGTGGGTTAATGAGCGGGTTGAGTGAGTGAGTGGGTGACTACTGGGTCAGTGGGTGGGTTAATGAGCGATTTGGGTGAGCTGGATTCATGAATCCCCATTCTCCTTCTGGTGACCGTGTTCTGCTGTTGACAGCAGCAGATCTGGAAGAACGCTGCCGCTGCAGCTGTGCAACCAGAGTGGAACGACGCGGACGTCCAGAATGAACTGAACTAAAAAGTATTAAAACTTTTTATTTTATTTTACCAGCCGTAAGGCCCCACCGAGCTGCTGTGTAGTAGCTCTTTTTTTAGAAGTGACCTGACTATCACAAATGATAGCAGCTCAACAGAGTGAGTGGCTGTTTATCATCATCATCATCACGTGGACATTTTTTAGCAGCAGCTAAATAACTATATAAACACGTAGAGACGTTGACTCTGAAAAGTGGAGGGGAAAAGAAACCGGTGGACCCCCTGGAGAAAAATCTACGCGACCACCACGGAGAAGAGGAGAGACACCGCCAACTCCAAATATACAGCAACAGGCGTCGGGGTAGGGTCTGAAACCCACGGCCTCCTGTGCACCAGGCAAGGTAGTCAACATCTCCGAGCCCACCGTCGCGCTCACCCTCGGGACCCGGACATCCAAGGGCACCTCCTGGCTCTTTGACATTCCACCTCACCTCCTCCACGGGGATGCCGGTCGGTGGGAAACATCGACCTCGTCGGAGCGTCGACAGGCTGCTTGCGCTGCTGTGGTCATGCAACTCCTCCGAGCATGTAGACCGTTAGTAGTAGGTTTTTACCCTTTAAACTGGTACAAAACTTACACCTTTATACAAGGCATCATGTTTGCAATAACCACAACACAAGCAGTCAAAATGCAAACAAAAGAAACAACTCTGATAATGATAATAATATGCACTGTCCTTGAAGTTGATTGGTCCACACCCGAGACAGCTTTCCTTAGAGCCTAGTCTCCATTGCTGTTGAACCAGATGACACCAAAAGGCGTACAACTCAAAAATTATCAGAGTTGTTTCTTTTAGTTTGCATTTTGACTACTTGTGTTGTGGTTATTGCAAACATGATCCCTTGTATAAAGGTGTCAGTTTTGTACCAGTTTAAAGGGTAACAACCTACTACTATATTTTGCCACTGGTAAAGGAGGTCTCATAGTGTACATGTGGACCGTTGTCATTATATAAACCTCGGTGGGTGTGCGCTACTTCGACGGAGGAGGGGAATAGCAACACTGCACAAACTCTCCTAAAAACGCTGAATCGGCACGGTAGGGGCGACGTACGGTGTGAAAGAAGTTCAACATACTGTACACGCATACACAGAGACCCACAGATACCCAGACCCATAGAGACACCCTGACCCCTAGAGACCCACAGATTAGCACGGTTGGGCTATGTATGGTGCGACAGAAGTTCAACATACTGTACACACACAGCCACTCACACCCATAGAGACCCACAGATTACTACGGTTGGGGCCACGTACGGTGTGAAAGAAGTTCGATGTACATATATCATAGCTAGCAGACCTCGACATTGCACTCAGTTTCCGAACATATTGCTGCCATACGCAAGAATATAATCATGAGTAAGTGAATGCATTAGGTGTGTAAGCTAATAAACGAGTGAATGGGTATTTGGGTGAGCTCCTGGACGAGCGAGTTGAGTGAATGGGGGAAGGGGAGTGAGGGGGATGAGTGGATGGGTGGTTCATAAAATTATGGAATGGGTCCTTGACAGCAAACCGATAGAAGAGGGTTCATCAGTATCCATAATCGAGCTTTTTTTGGGTAAGATCGTGTTAAGTATAAATGTGTCGTTAAACCCGCCACCACCCGACACAGGCAATTAGTAAGGTTTGTCACTTAAAGAAAACGTGGCAATTTGTGACGTGTTTTCTTTACGTGACAAACCTTAATCATTTGCCTGTGGCGGGTTTAATTATATATATCTAACCCAAAAACACCTCGGTGATGCATACTATTGGTCGCGAAAGGCTTCCGTGTTGAACCAAACTTTTTTATTTTCATCAGGTAAGGCCCACTGAGAAACTGTATGTAAAAGCGCTTTTTCAGAAGCAACCTGGTAATCGAAAATTATAATAGCTCAATCAAGTGGCTTATCATCACTTGGGCATTTATAGCAGAACACATCTATCATGCAATACTGTTGGTCGCGAAAGCCCTACTACTACGACATACCTGGCAACCCCTCATCAGTGCCCTACCTTATCACAGACCAATTCAGACCTTATTGGTCACCCCGTGCACTTAGAAATCTCAACGTTCATCCTACAAGGGAGAACACAGACATTTTTTGTTACCTGTATTGAAATGGCACTATACCGTTTGGACCTGAAAACTCAATGTCCCTGTGCAAGAAGAATACGGGGTAAACCGTATGGGTTGACGGGTATGCCAATCAGTTTCTAAGACAATGCATATCCATCTTCTTGGTTCTTTCGGTAAAGTCACGTAGAAGGGAAATAATGAAAATAAAACATAATAAAATACAATTCTCACGACGTATCGGCCACAACGCAAGCAGCCGTCAAGTCTGTCAGAAAGACAGCGTCTGAATCATTCAGACGCTGTCTTTCCGACAGACCTGTTCTTGTGGTCCCTCGGTTAACAGTGAGATCGGTCAATGTTTTTTTTTCCCGTTAATGTTTCACCAATTGGACCCCCATGGGTTTCGACTCGCGTTAACATCGCTGACTAACGGTATGCGTGGTTTAGGTTGTGCACGCGGTGGCGCTAATTTCAGCCAATCGGAGTGCTCGTAAGTGGAGTTGAGCCATACCATCGACCAATGGCGCCGCACCATTTATGAGGGGTTTGGACCTCGACCGGGCTTTGTTTACATTGCACGCTTTCTGTTTTGGGCAGTGGAAAACAGCTCTCTCTTCTTGCAGGCTCCGTGATGTTTTTATTACTAATTTTCCAACTTATATAAGTGAATTCTATCGACAGTTATTTCGGTTTACAGTCTTTTTAGTAGAACGGATTAAAACAAAACGTTAAACCGAGGGACCACTGTAATCTCTTGCCAACCCGCGAATTTACCAACCACGAGATTTGATTATTACGCAATCTTGACTTATGTGTATGCGCGTGTAATGAAGGATTGCAAATTTCGATTTAAAGCTTTCGTGACTGCAGGGATTCATCTTCTTGGTTCTTTCAGACTCTATCGTCTCGACAGACCTGTTCTTCACCTGAGGACGGCTGCTTGCGTTGTGGCCGAAACGTCGTGAGAATTATTTTATTATGTTTTTATTTTATTATTTCCATTCTACGTGACTTTACCGAAAGAACCAAGAAGAAGGATTGCAAAGGCGTCACTTTGTGGATATGTTTTATTGTCCTTAACAACAACAACAACGTGTCCACTACCAGCCATCACCACTCCCTTGCTTCCCCCTCCCTCTTCGCTCTCATCCTCCTCTCTCCCCCAGAGGTCGCAAACGGGTTTTGATTCCTTACCCGTACCCGGCCGCACCAGGGTCGCAAATGGGTACACGTACCCGGCTGGGTACGGGTACCCATTCCCTACCCGTACCCTACCCGAAATGAGTGACAAACGGTTACTCACCAGTGACTCACGGCCTACTCGTACCCGTACCTGGCCGCACCAGGGTTGCAAACGGGTACCCGTACCCGGTCGGGTATCGGGTAGGGTACGGGTATCGGGTACCCGTTTGCGACCTCTGCTCTCCTCCTCTCCAATCCCTGCCCAAGCCTCTTCTAAACAATTCCTCTGCTCCCCTTCTAAGAGTCCCCAACGGAATCTCCCCTTGCGCCCCTTTCAAATATTCCCACCTCTTTCAAACCTTCCAACCAATCACCATCTAGCAATCCGCATCCGAGCTGTCATGCAGTGGCGCCACCTCGTGGCGGTTGTGGTGTTCGTGATATCCATGTCCAACCAAGCGGCTCTCCAATGATATACCTGTCAACCCCCTATCAGTGCCTGCCTTATGGCAGAGCAATTCAGACCTTATTGGTCACCCCGTGCCCTTATACATCTCAGCGTTCATCCGACAATCCCATCACAAGAGAGAAACACGAACGAATAGACAATCACCACTACTACACTCACCACTAGTACATCTGTAATGGATTCAACTGAGTCGTAGACCAGGAGGCAACACATCGATTCAATTCCAACACACGGGGTAACTTTGCCCCGAACAGAATAACAACCTATGGTGGTGACCACCAGGCTAACTACACGAGTTACCAGGGACGTGCGGTCAGGGGAGGCAGCTATCACATCTGCCTCACTGAGGGGGCCGTGTCCAACACGCCCCCCTCAGTGAAGACACGCCCCCCTCAGTGAGGACACGCCCCCCTCAGTGAGGACACGCCCCCCTCAGTGAGGACACGCCCCCCTCAGTGAGGACACGCCCCCCTCAGTGTGTGAATCTGGCTCTGACACGAGCCAGTGCCTCCCCAGCCATTGACCTCACCGCACGTCACTGCTGTGTGATGATGTGACTGCTACTAGGGACCGGGACCAACGACTTCGGCCCGGGTCCACGTGTTGGAGACTCGTTGAACGGAGAACGTCGATGAAGGTTTTTTTCCAGGTTGAACAACAACCCTGGTCCCTATCGGGACCCGGCTTATATTCTCTGTGGCATGGCCGGCTCCGCCCTTGGCCACGTCTACCTTCCAGAATCCTCTGGAAGGATCTGGGTCCTAATCACCTGACCCCCCCCCCCCAGCCCCTTCTTGGGCCCCCTTTGTCGACTTGACTGGTCACGTGTCTAGATTTGAAGCTTTCGTGACTGCAAGGATTCATACTCTTAGGTTTTTTCGGTAAAGTCACGTAGGTGAAAAATATCATTAAAAGTTAATAAAAGTAATAATGGAAATAAAATAATAAATCACGACGTTTCGGAGTCATCAAGTGATGCAGTAATTTTAGCTGTGACGGTCCCACCTGATGACGGAGACTTGTGTTGCCTCCGAAACGTCGTGATTTATTATTTTATTTCCATTATTACTTTTATTAACTTTTAATTTAATTTTTTTACATACGTGACTTTACCGAAAAAACCTAAGAGTATGGTCACGTGTCCTCCCAGGTCAACCAGAGTGCCATGGCCTCACATAACCTCATCCCTCGGCTGGCACCCACACACCATGTCCTGTAGGGTCGGCACTACACGTAAAGCGTGGTGCCATCTAGCGCTATCTAGGACTGGCACTTCACCCAGAATGTTGACATCCAGCGATGTCACTCCACACCCACCAATTCAAACCTCATGGGTCACCCTGTGCCCCTTATACATCTCAACGTTCATCCTACAAAGCACCATCACAAGGGAGAAACACAAACGAATAGATACTCAACACTACTAACCTCACCACTAGTACACACCACTACAATCACCACTAGTACACTCACCACTACACTCACCACTACACTCACCACTAGTACACTCACCACTAGTACACTCACCACTAGTACACTCACCACTAGTACACTCACCACTACACTCACCACTAGTACACTCACCACTAGTACACTCACCACTACACTCACCACTACATACCTATGAACCCCTTATCAATACCCTATCTATATATATAAAATCGTGAATCTGTCTATCTGTCTGTCTGTGTGTCTGTGTCTCCGGACCATACGCATTTTCATTGGACGGCGGTTGCCCCTGGCAACGGCTAGCGACGCCTTCGCCGCTTTCATTGGACCTGGCAACGGCTAGCGATGCCTTCGCCAAGGGCTGCAGTTTCATTGGACGGCGGTTGCCCCTGCCAACCGCTAGCCACGCCTTCGCCACTTTCATAAGCTCTGTAATTAATTAAATAATAGCCATTACACAGTATTGTTGGAGCGCTAGGGGGGGGGGGGGGAGGAACGCCACCCGTACCCTGCCTCTTCCAAGCCGACAATTTTAGGCGAGGCCGCAGGCTTTGGACGCTACTAGGCCTCGACACCCACCACGCCACTCTGAGGTAAATTCATCAAAGTTTTTCCTACTCTTGACTACACCCCCACCACAATGTGTGCTATTAATATTACTTTAATGTTCGTGAAATTTTTTTCCCAAAATTTTACACTTTTTAGGACAAAAATATATTTCATTACCAATTGCTTAATGGTGCAATGCAATCATCTGACCCATAGGTGGCAGCCATCTCAAGCCAGAGGACGAGATGACTCTAGCCGTCACGCATATAAAGGATTTATAGTGAAAAACTTTGTTTTTACGGGTTATACTTGTTAAATCCTTTATATTAAGTTCGCTTGCTTGCTTGCTTGCGTGCTTGCGTGCTTGCTTGCTTGCTTACGACCGTGCAAATCTTTCGGTCGTTTTTTAACCCACTTCCCGTGATCCAATCGAGCTGACATTTTGCACACAGACTCGTTGTGCGAGACAATTAATGTTCGTGAAATTTTTTTTCAAAAATTTTACACTGTTTAGGGAAAACAAATTAAATATTTAATCACCAATTGCTTAATACTGGCAGACAATCATCTGACCCATAGGTGGCAGCCATCTCAAGCCAGAGGACGAGAGGACTCTAGCCGCCACGCATATAAAGGATTTAGAGTGAAAAACTTTGTTTTTACGGGTTAATTTTTTGCCAGTATCAAATGATACTGGCATAAAGGTCCCATTTTGTAGCTGCTGACCTCGAGCTATAAATGTTCTGCCTTCTTCTGTTCACCTTTCGGCGTTCTCTGGTCTGACACTGGTAGTGAGACTAGAATCTGAAGAAGGCTGTCTCTGGTGTAGGCCAATCAGTTTCAAAGACAATGTCTATATAACACATTCCTGCGGAGGGAGCTGGTAGGAACGTTGGGTTGCTCGGTCAATGGCCTGCAGGGTCAACGGCGGCGTGGTGTATTCCGCAAATATGCTTGTTTGCATATTCACCGCAAGTACCGTGTGTGGTTAATGCAGTAACTTGTTTTCTTGCAAACGTTTTCTATTTTGTGTTTGAACATCTTAACACCTGTTTTATTGCCAGAAAGGATAAAACCTATTGTTATTTTTTCATACATCATCATCATCATCGCTGTGATGTCCCCGTATTTATGGTATGAATTTTCACGGATCTCTGTGAGTCTCATTGCGTCGTTATATGTTGTTACCGTCTCTGTTCTGAATGATCACAGTCACGCGACTACTACGGGAGAAGTTTTAATTTTCCATTTGTGCATCAGGATATCATGGTTTATGCAGTGGATGCAGTTTATGGGTGGACTGCGAGCAGCTTCGTGGAAGATCAAACCCCAGGTGATCTGCGTTGGGTCTTTCACAACCAGTGTGTTTGTGAGTTATTTTGAACTCCATTTGGTGAGTGCTGGTGTCGTGAGAGTGGTGAGGTGTCTGGTGACTGGTCAGAATCAGAATATGTATTTGTACTGCAGGCAGTGCCGGATGAAGCTAGTGCGGGGCCTGTATCATGTGTTTTAAAGGGGCCATAAATAAATAAACATGAATCTTTTAACATCACATTTACTTGCATAGTAAAGAAATTTTATTTTTTCATTTGCTATACAGCCAGATCATACGACAAATCGCTAACCTTAAACACCCAGTC